AGGAGTAAAAAAAAAAAAGATAACCTGGTTGCCGAGTTCACGAAGTGTATTGGCTTGTTTTACAACGTCGTTGCCAAGCGACGAAAACCCAATCCCGATGGCAAACACCGGGGGGGGGCTTACGTCCGAACACGCGTAGGGCGTGTTCGGGGTGTGTTAAATGAGGGGGCAAGGGGGTGTGATAGCACGTCCGAATACCCACAGGGTGTGTTTGGGGTGTGATAGTGAGGGGGTGCGAAAAAAAAAGTGGGTGTTAAAACACTGCTTGTAGAGTTGAACCGCTGCTGCCGCTCACTTGAAGGGGTGTGGTATGCCGGGTGTGTGATAGCAATGCCCGTACGAACACTTCATGACTTGTGGTTCTGCGAAATGTGGTAAAACAAGGAGCTCAACGGAGGTGACGAAACTCCCGAGCACATGACTCGGTGGCCACAGAGTGCGCCATCCGTCTTGCCCCCTCAAAACAAAAAAGTAGGCTCCCGCATACCTTGCTATCGGGTGCGACCAAAAGAGAGTTACGCAGATGTTCTGTGTATGGGGTACCCACATGCCCACGCGGCAGATGTTGTATCGCCCCGGTGTGTTATCTCATGTAGCCCCGGTGATAAATCGATTGTTTGTCAGAAACGCCGAAAGTTATCACCGGGGTGTCGTATTCTGCGGGGGGGGTGTGGTTTCTTATGTGGGTGTGTTATCTTGTGTCGTCTACGGTACAGCCTCATTTTGGTGCACCACACTCATTTCGTTGCGCTGTCAAGAAAAATGATGGGAGCAAGCGTCACCACGACGACGCGAAAAAAGAGCTCACCTGAGAGCTTCGCCGAAGGGCGAGAAAAGTGTCCACGCACAGCCCCCGGAACTCTCGGAAACATCTAGACTGCGTGCCCCCCATCAAATTCAGGAACCCCTGCGTCAGCTTGAAGGGGGCGGACTCGAACCCAAGGTTTCCCCCCGGGCTGTTGGCGAGCATGAAGCCGAAGTCGACGTGGATCACGCGTCCTTGGGAGTCTAGCAGAATGTTGCCGTTGTGCCTGTTGGGGGGTCCAGGGTCCAAACCAAAAACGGTTGTACAGGGACCGAGAGAGAGAGAGAGATGGGGTTGGCTCGCCATCGACATCTCGACAGACATAACTCTCATTTCGATCTGATCATCAAGTAGAAGCCTTTCCTATTTGAGGAGCCAACGACAACGCCGGAGCCCCCCTCCTGTCCCCTCCCGTGCGTTGACCCGATGAGACTATTACAGCTCCCCACCCCATGCGGCCGGCTCTTGAAGGAATGCATGAGCACAAGAGTTAGATTCACGGACAACCAACACGCACACAATTCTCCCGGCAATTTGGAGAGAAAAACAGCAGTCGCGCATATTTCGCTGACGTCGGTGTGACTTTTTCCTACAGCACGTCACGCTTACACCCGCCGTTGCCCGTGCCCCGGCGTGTGCGATTGTGCCGTGTTTCTTCGCATGTCAACCGTCACATTTAGTGGGTCGTCGTCGTCGTCGTCGTCGTCGTCGTCGTCGTCGTTGTTGTGGTTTTAACAATCCGAAATCAAACCATTGGACTGCAAATAGTCAGTGGCTGACTGGGCCATCGGGTCTCATAATGGTTTGATTCCGGCTTCCGAAACAAGTTACTGTGAATGTTTTGTCGTTGGTTTGACTTCGTGGTTGCAGCACGCACCCGTCCACTGAGCCCCAACGCAACCCCACCCTACCCACCGATCCTTGATCTGCAGGAGGTAGCACGCGATGGAGTAGGCGGCCAGGCTCTCGATGAAACGCCGCTGAGCCTCGCGGAAACCGTCCGACCCCTTAGCCCCGAACCTCGCCTCAAAGAACCCGGTCAGACTGTGTGCACGGGAGGGCGGCAGGCAGACCATTTGATGCAAACAACAAAAAGGGCGGCCGCGCCAAGAGGGGGAGACGTGAAGCTTGGGGGGG